AGTTCCAACCACTGCTTGTTCTGAAGTTCTTGAAACAGAAGTTCAGGAGTGGAATCGGTGGCCGCGTTGGTGGGTTAAAGGTCGGGATTCGCAGACCTCACTCTGTCGACCACCGAACTTCTCGCGAGTTCCAGGTACTCGGCCTTAGACTGGCGCGGGTATGGCGCCCACAACCCTTGGTTGTTGATGAGGGTCATTACCCACTCGCCCTTTTGGATTGCCGGCTAGATAGTTCTTGGGTGCCAAATCATGTCATGGCCCCAGTCCGCCTCGCTCGATCGAGTGTGGTTGAGCCCTTTGAAGTGAACGGTATAATCCTTGCGAGATGCAGTGGAACAGAACTCCCAGAATGCAACAGAGGCGGGGKGGCAAGCCGAGGCGTCAGTCTCGCCGCCAGCTTACTTGGGGTCTTACCCGGGGTGAACTTGAGCACAGGTGATGCTTGGGTGGCCTGGCTTGTTGAGGGACCGGCCGACGAGGAGCCTGAGGCATGAAACAACGGAGCAGGATGGTAATCGATGTCGATGTCCTCTGTTTTGCGGTCCTCCTCCGGGGTAGCCCTGTCGAAAACAACGCCTGTCTCCGCCTCTTCGTCCGTGGAGATCAAGGCACCATAACTCTCAAGCTTCAGCACGTGCTCGGACTCGACGAAGTACAAACACTGCAGCTAGTCGAGGAAGTTCTTTGCGTTATTGCGTGAGGCATCGTGGTAGTTGTCCAGCAACGCTAACATGTGTTCCTTGCGGCGCATGTGCTCAGCGTCACCATCCCTCCTGGGCAGCGTTTCCAAAAAGAGGAACTTGTAGATCTTGTTCCTTTTCCGCTCGCTCAACTTGAACCACATGTCCATAGACGGTTCCCGAACGAGTGTCGGTTTCTCACTCGTCGAAATGAACTCGCATCGGTTGGCTCCAGAGTTGACCTCGCTTTTGAGGAACTCCAATGTGTATTGCAACAACTCAGAATTCCCTTCCACCGCGGCCATGTGTCGGCCGCTCTTCAAAACCTCCCACATGACTCGCGTGTGCGACTTGCCAAGGAACATGACGTCGTTCCCCTTTTTGCATAAAAAATCCAGCAGATGGACCAATTGTGTGGGGTTTTGTTCCATTTCCTTGTAGACCTTCCTATCAACTCCAGCCATGGCTGACGACCACTCGCAAAATGGTTAACAGGTACCCCCACTTTTCACCCTTAGGGTAACCTTCCCCACCCTGAAAAGTGCAGTGGGGATCAAAATTTGGGGGTCGGTTAACCTTCTGTCCACAAATGTCTGATATGTCTGTCGGGGTCACTTTCTGAGGTGCCCCGACAACTGCAACGTCACCTGCCGACAACCTAGCATCGTAGACGACACACGTATTGTCCCGCAAATCGTCACCTTTGAAGAGAATGTACATGCGGTCGTCAGCCGAGTACAAGTTGTTCCCCACTGGAAAAGTTTTCTTGTGCTGCGTCCTCCTGACCCACTTCCCTGCTATTGCCTTGACAACGGGCAGATGGCACAAGCTGGTCATGAAGGAGTAGTCCCACCGCTGAGGGACAAAAGTGACGTCCGTCTCGTGTGACGGAAACAATTGCTCTAGGAGGGAATTCAAACTCTCGAAAGCTTTCGGCGTCCACTGTTTGAAGTCCACAGATCGAGAACGCACGTGTGACATTTGGTGGTCCCAACTGCTTTCTCCAACTCCGTGACGGTCACCCTCATCCGCGCCTCTAGAGGGTCAACGCCGAACGGGGCGATGAATGTCACGTCCCCCGAGTCTTTCCACAGAACGTGCACCACACCTTCGGTAAGCGCGACCTCCATACTCTTCGCCCTATTGTCGGTCAACACGGAGAAGACCTTGTTCTTCCAGTCAGCGGACAACTCCTTGTTGAGGGCGAGTTTTTCCGTCGCCTTAAACCACTAGTACTTTCTCTGTGTATGTTTTTAACGTAAAACGGGGGAATTAAACTCCCGTTGAATCCCGTTAAATTCAAAAAAATCCC